GGCATACCATACCTTTTTGGAAAGGGGAGATCATGAGGAATACCTCTTATGTTTGTCCCAAGTTCATTTGAATCTTTCTTGATGGGCAAAAGTTGCTTAGAAGTCAAGTAACTTTCACAGACAAATTTCAATGTCATCTGATGACCTGTAACTTGCAAGAGCTATAACTTGAGTTCCACAAATCCTTTCAAGGACTTCCACCACCTAAATTAAAGTTAAGAACATCCTCTACAAGTCTCCTGACCACCAAGAAGTGAGATGAGGCTTGCATTTCAATCTATCTTGTCTTGAAGTTTGCATCAAACTAGGGGATTTTACACTGTCAAGCATAGTAACCCTAGCTCTCAAACTCCTCAAACTTGTCAATCATGAGCAAGTAGCCTTGGAATCATCCACTAGGCATCTTAAAGCATCAATCCAAGATCATATGACATTGGGGATAGGTCTCAACCTTCCTCAAATTCATCTGTTGACTTAGGGTTGACCAGTCAAACCCTAATTCTACCACTCATGGTAAAACTTTTCAATCTTCAATCAATGACTTGTCTAGGACTCATGATGGATCTCAAGACATCATAGGGACTCTAGCAAGACTCCAATATCACACTCATGGCTTCAGAATCATCTGAGTAGCATCAATAACTTTCAAGTTAGGAGACATTCAACTTTGCAATCAAACCAATCTCTGAGGATCATCATACTCAACTGAGGAGGATATCAACCCTAGCCTCTTCAATAACATTCTTCATGAGGTTCTCAAACCTTCTATTAGCTCAAAAGATGATCACACCCTTTGATCCCTGCACACATATCAATGCAATGCATATGCTAGTGTATGAATAAATGCAATGAAATCATGAACCAAGTCTCGACAAAGTTAGGCAAATTTTGGGGTGTAACAAGTATGAGATATAACATTTAGTAGAATGGTTCTTGCTTTATGATGATTTTTGAACTCTTTCTTTTGAGCTTCAGTAATTGACTTTCTGTCAATTTTCTTGCCATCCCCAACAGTGGGGTGAACATAACCATCAATGACTAAGTCCCCAAGATCAACATCATATCCCATAAAGAAGCTTTCAGTTCTATCTTTCTAGTAGTCAAATTTCTCACCATCAAACATGCGAGGTTTTGTGCTGATTCTATCGTTGTCTTCATATTTGTTGTAGGATGTTGAAGCTTCAGCAGCTATAATGTATCAACCAAAAATATCAAGAGTTTTCCCACTGGATCTTTTCTCTTTCATGGTTAAGTGAATAACACTACAGAGCCGGAGCTCTGATACCAACTGAAGGTGGGAAAAACACTTAGAAGGGGGGTTGAATAAGGGTTTAGAAAAAATTTGGCAATAAAAGCAACACAGTATTTTTATCCTGGTTCATTGAACTCAACTAATCCAGTCCACCTTATCAAAGATGATTTGCCTTTCTCCACAAGGACTTAATCCACTATATTCAAACAGATTACAATGTTAACCACTAAGAACAACTGTTTTAGTCTTCTCAAGAAATCCTGACCACAACTTGGACTTCTCAAGGAACCTTTTACAAATAAATGTAAACTAACAAGTGTTTAATATGCTTCTAAAAAGCTATATCACAACTGTGATTTTACACTTAAGATTTAAGAACGAATGAAACTATTCAATAAAGAAATATAATTTGTATGAGAGCTTGAAAGTAGTTTTCAATTGATTTATCATAGGTTTCATCAACTGTAGAATGTTGTTGAAGGTTGCTTTTATAGTCCAAGAAGTCTGTGCTTGAAGACCGTGTACTGCAAAGTAGTTGTTGCCTTTTTGTCTTCTAATGACTCTAGCTTTCCCAGAAAAGGAACGTTCAGATAAATCCTTTTTGCCTGTGTTTTTGTGTCTATCACAAAAGAGGAAAGAGTCGTTTGGAATATGCCAACGGATATATCTTTGAATAATATCTTCTTCAACAAGCTTCTATCTCACAGTTATCAACATCAGAGCCTTGAGGTGATCAGAGCCTTGATGTTATCAGAGTTTATTATATCAGAATGTTGCAGCTAATTGTGCTTCAGCGTGAATATTACTCATAGCAGAGTTTAAAGATCAAATCCTTTGTACTTTCAGCGAACAGTACTTCAAGAGTCTTCTGTAAACAGTGCTTGAAACTCTTCATACAAAATCTTCAGCTACGCTTCAGATGCTTCTGCAGCTTATGCTTCAGAGTCTTCTGGAAGCGCTCAGAGTCTTCTGATGACATGCTTCTAATGCTTCAGATGCTTAGCGTATAGAGCGTTCAGATGCATTTTTGCTTCCTTATGAGTATTAAAATTAATATCTGAAACAAAATTAGAGTATATATTTTCTTAATACAAAATTTCATTAGTGTTATCATCAAAACATAGAGATATATTTAAACACCAATCTGTGTTCTAGCAGTTCTCTATTCTACTGAATATGTTGTTTAGCAGTTTAGATTAAGTCTCTCACCAAGATGCTTGAGCCATGTAAGTATCTTGCTATGTGTTAGAGTATTGAAAGTTTTAATCAAGTAGAATGATTGAGCATCTAAGTCTCTCGCCAAGATAGTTGAGCCATGCAAGTCTCCTGCTATGTGCTAGAGCATTAAAAATCTTAATCAAGTGGATTGGTTAAGAAAGGAAGCCTTAGACTATGAATCTGAGCAAAAGTTATGGGTTCGTGGAACCTAAGCAAGGTAGTCTTGGACTGAGGGTTTGAGCAGGAAGTCTTAGATTGATGGAATCTAAGCAAAAGTCTTGGGCCCGAGGGGATTAAGCAGAAGTTTTGAACCTGAGGGGTTTAAGTAAGAAGTATCGGGTTTAAGGGACCTAAGCAGTAAATTCTTAGGCTACTAGTCTAAGCAAGGAAGTCTTAAAACTTGAGAGTTTAAGCAAGAAGTCTTGGACTGAGGGTCTGAGTAATGTAAAGTCTTATGTTGAATGCATAAGCGAATGTAATCATGATTTGATTATAGTGAAAATCTCTTGTGATGCAAGAGGATTGGACTACTCTCAGTTTAGGAGGAATAAGTATAAATCTCTGTGTGTTATGTTATTATTTATTTACTTTTATTAATATTCTGCTGCTTAATATAATCAGAATCTGAACACCAGATTATATTCTAAACTTTGATCCGAAGTAAAATAAGAAAATAGAAAACACAATTCAACCCCCTTCTTGTGTACTTTTCCTCACCTTTAGGTGATGAGAGTAAAATTAACGTTATGTTGGACCCATGGTTAAAAATAGTTGGAAAAAGATGCCTTTATGCTCCACAAGGACAAGGTGTGTACAATCTTACTTTTAATGAACTTATGCGGCCTAATGTTAAACAATGAAATATTCAGAAAATTAGACAATTGTTTACGCATGATGCATTGTTGGAAATATTGAAGGTGCCTTTGTTGGAGGATGTGAATGAGGATTGCGTGGTGTGAAAAGAAGAGAGTTGTGGTAATTACAATGTGAAAGCACGATATAAGTTGTTGAAGAAAGATCAAACCATTTCTCTTAACCTTAAAGTGGGTGGGGATTGAGATAGTTTGTGGAAGATTATAACTCCTCTAAGAGCTAAAGACTTGCTTTGGAGAATTTGTCGTGGGTGCTCTTGACGCATATTAGACCCCGTCAACACTATGGGCAGTGTCCACATAATTGCCAAATGTGTGAAGGTAATGAGGATGATGATTGACATGTCTTTTTTGAGTGCACGACGACCAATCAATGTTGGATAAATGTAGGTTTGAGTCGTATTATTGCTCCTTGAGTTCATTCTTTTAATGATGCAAAATTCACCCTTCTTGATATTTGTAGCAAAGAAGATATACATGTAGCGGAAAAAGTTGTTGTTACGTTATGGGTTATTTGGAATAAGAGGAATAGTTGGATTTAGAAGAATGAGATGGAGGGCGCAAACAAGTTAGGCATGTAACCTTTTAATGCCTGACAAAATTGGTTTCAAACTCAAAGGTCTTATTCTTCTCATAATGACATCATTGTCCATCCGATAGTGTGACATTATTCGAGTGTAGGGTGGTTGAAATATAAAATAAATGCTGAATTTAATAACCAAAAAATGAACCACTAATAGGGGATGGTGCCTAAGAGATATTGGTGAGAGGTTCATCAATGTTGAAATAGCTTTGGATTTTGACCTCTTATCTGTTATATAGGATGAAACATTGGCCTTAAAGAAAGTAGTGCACGCAGTCATTCACATGCAGCTGAATCATGTTATATTTGAGTGTGACTCATAATTGGTGGTGCAAACGGTACACAATATTATTGATGGTACTCCTGAGTTTAGTTTAATTATCTCGTGTAGTAAGAAGCTTCTAGTTATTCATTCTAATTTTAAGGTAAAGTTTGTTAAATATCAAAAAATTGAATTGCCCATATTTTAACTAAGACGACTGATTATTGATGTAAGAGTAATGTTTTCCATTTAATGTCTCTTTATATTAAACAATTTTTTTAATGATATAAATTAAAATTTTGAGTTAAATAAATCACAAAAACTTTAAATTTACTTGAAAAAGAAAACTTTACATTACATTTTTTAATTTAGACCTTTAAGTTTTGAAATGCCTAACTCAACCGTTTATGTTACAAATCCTTTTATATTCTCAATGCTTGGAATTCTGTTTAATGAAATCGAAAAGACAATATTGTATAAAAAAATTAAAATCGAAAAGACAGTGAATTTTACTACTAATAACAACACTTTTTCTACAATAACAGCTTTAATGATTTTTATTACTAATAACTGATTTCATACAACTAAACATCCATTCCATCCGAACCGAAAACTGGTTCTCAAAGCCTTCACTTCACCGGTGACCGGAAACTGAAAACTACCACCCAAATCCGCGGCAGCGCCACCATCGTGGCCTGTCGCGCCTCCGCGTACCTCCATCATTCTTTCTCAATTTCCTTCCTCCGCCCCCTCCGCAAACCAAAACTCCTCTTCTCTCCAAACCCTAGCCTGCCACATTCGAACCCGTGCAAGATGGCGTACGGCGGTGCAGGTCCAGTCGGTGGCGGTGGTTCTAATTCAACACCGGCGATTAAGCAAGTTAAATTGGAAAAAGAATGTGAACTGAGAATTGAAGTCGGTAATGACGCACCTCTTCGCCTTCGACTCCTTAACGGCACTGCTGAGGTTTTCGGTACCGAGCTTCCCCCTGAAATCTGGCTCAATTTTCCTCCAAAGCTCAAATTTGCTGTAACTCCTCTTTTCCCTGAAATCTACCATTTTTATTAGCTTTGTCTGCTATCACTGTACAATTTAACATAGGGTTTATGGTGTTATTGTTAACCTTCAAATATTCCGCTGCTGCTCGATTCAGAAATGATTTTTTTTTGTGTCTGGCAGGTCTTTACTTGGTATGGTGCGACCATTGAAATGGATGGTGCTACCGAAACTGATTATACTGCGGATGAGGTAAATCACGATGGGACTATTTACTTGCATTCTTTCTTTAAAGCTTACTATGAATTGCTTAGGAAAAACATCTGGCTTGGTGGTATGAAATGAAATGGAATGGAGTGGTAAATAATGAGATACCATTGGATGGATTTGCATATAATGGATGAAACAATGAAACATGATGGAATCCATTCCATCACAACATTCAATTTTCTTTCCATCTGATTTGGGGTGTACGCAATGGGACGAACTAATTTATTCAGTTCCATTCCTTCAACTAATAAAAAATATAAAAACAATGGAATGAAATCTCTGTTCCATCAACTCCATTCCATCATGTTCCATTCTGCTCCACTTCGTTATACTCCATCAATCTAAACATAGCCGAAATGACTCATTTATTAATTAGTGACAGAGGAGATTGCAACCTCTTTTTTGCTTTTTTTAATTGCAGACACCAATGGTTAGCTATGTAAATGTGCATGCTATATTAGAAGGAAGAAGAGGTCGTGCCAAAAACTCGCCTTCAGACGACCCTGTTTTGTCTCAGGTGATTTTATTTATTTATTGTGTCTTGTGATTAGGAATTTAGATGTTTTGATGTGTTTGTTGATGTGGATTATTTTTTGTTTTTGCTTGTTTTGTATGTCTTTTATTTTTGCACTGACACTGCATCTTTCTGATGCTGTCTTTTTTATGAATTATTATGCTCAAGGGTTTCCAAACTTGTGGTTTTATTATGGATTTATGTGTTTGGAAGAGCAGTCTTATGTTTGCACTGACACTGCATCTTTCTGATGCTGTCTTTTTTATGAATTATTATGCTTAAGGGTTTCCAAACTTGTGGTTTTATTATGGATGTATGTGTTTGGAAGAGCAAAATTAGTAATTCCTTTTAGGTGTAGGATGTATAGTTTGTTGTCGTATCTGAATTAAGTTTCAATTGATTTGATTGGTCAGGGCCCTAGGGTGATTGTTGTAGGGCCTACAGATTCTGGAAAGAGTACCTTGTCAAGGATGCTTCTCAGTTGGGCAGCTAAACAAGGTTGGAAGCCCACCTTTGTTGACTTGGATATTGGCCAAGGATCTATTACAATTCCTGGATGCATTGCTGCCACTCCAATTGAAATGCCCATTGATCCCGTCGAGGGAATTCCACTTGAAATGCCTCTTGTTTACTTTTATGGACACACATCGCCGAGGTAGCTATTACTGTAATTCTTATCATATTTTCAACTATGAACTGGCCAAATCACATGTGAGCATACACTCATTCATTTGAAAGTATCTAACTCATTAATAGCACACGGAGCAAATGAGAATCTAATCACCAAACATTATTTTTACAGTAACAATGTAGAATTGTATAAAGTGCTTGTCAAGGAGCTTGCAGCGATACTGGAAAGACAATTTACTGGAAATAGTGAATCTCGAGCTGCAGGAATGGTGATAAATACCATGGGATGGATAGAGGGAGTAGGCTATGATGTAATTAACTTTTGAACCTTACCTTACTGTTGAATTGAACTCTGCTAATATATGGATTATACTGCTATTTAATATATCTTGATTAAAGTGGTCTCTCTTCTCTCTCCTATGAAGCACAGACACTCCGAACACAACACCAACACTGACACTGACACAGTGCCTCCGGTAATAATTTGAAAAAAAAGTAAAATAAAATGTAATCACAAGTGTCGATGTAGGTGTCCGACACAGACATGCCTTTAGCCTCTCTCTAACTATTTCATTTGGTGGTATTTTATTGCAGTTGCTATTACACGCAGTCCGTACATTCCAGGCCAATGTTGTCTTGGTTTTGGGTCAGGTAGATGATAGACTTATCTCGATTCAATATCTGCATCATTGCATTTTCCTTACATTTATGCATCATTCTTCGTCATAACAAACACCTTGATTTCTCACAATTGAAATAGATGAATCTTCCTTAGGAGTGGTTCTGTATACTATAATTTTTGTAAAGTCAGTCTCAGGCTTTTCCTTTGAACTCCTTATAGGAAAAACTGTGCAGCATGCTCAGAGATGTGCTTAAGGGTGAGCCTAAAGTAGATGTTGTGAAGCTTCAGAGGTCAGGTGGAGTTGTATCTAGGAATGCGAAGTTCCGTCAAAAAACCAGAAGTTCTAGGACAAGGGTAATCCCACTTTTCCACTTTTCTGTGTTTTCTGCATGCAGAAAAAGTTAATTGTCTTCTCCATATATTTTTTCGTTTTAGAGCATTTTGATTTATTTAATGCGAGATAAAAGGGCAACCATGGTTGAGTTAAGAAAATTTTAAATGAAAGAAATTAATTTGAGTGAAGGGTAATAGTTCTTTAGAAAAAATAGGATACTTTGCATTTATTGCCACCGTTTAAAACCTTGCAATTTGTAAGCCCATATTTGTAATTTGTGCGGAAAATGGAAATAAACTGCATTGGAACTGGTAGAAGATTGATTTTGGATATTTTGTGTGGATATAAAAGGGCAATCGCGGTGGAGTTTAGAAAATTATAACCTAAATAAATTAATTTGAGTCAACGGAAATAGGTTATGAAAATAGTAGGATCCTTTGTATTTATCGGCAGCGTTAAAACCTTGCAACTTGTAAGCTCATATTTGTAATTTGTGTGGATATAAACAGTAACTGCATTGGTACTTATAGTAGATTGCTTTTGGTTATTTTGTTTATTAGTTTTGGCCTATGGATTAGTCCCCCCCTCCTTGTGCAGTCTAATCACTTACTTAATTGTCCTGCCTGTTAAAAACTATTTTGTTGCTCAAACTGAAATTACTGCCATTATTTATTTTGATGCAGGAATACTTTTATGGCCTTGCAAATGATCTTTCTCCTCATTCTAATGTTTCAAATTTTAGTGACTTGTTTGTTTATCGAGTTGGTGGCGGGCCACAAGCCCCACGATCTGCCTTGCCAATTGGAGCAGAACCTGCTACAGATCCAACAAGAGCTGTAGCTGTGAATGTAAATCGTGATTTGCTCCATACAATCCTCGCTGTCTCATTTGCCAAGGAACCTGATGAGATCATTTCAAGGTAACTATGATTTCGATGATTAACTATTTATCATCCAAATCTAATAATTTTTAAGGGGGTTTCTATTGTGCACTAGCCACACAAGTCTTGCACCGCGGAATACTTCTTTCCTCCGTTGGATCATAATATCTGTTAGATGCTCTTATGTACTGTTTATATTGTATTTTAATTAACTTTTTTGTTCCCTCTTGATCTTGCTTCATCATCACGAGCTCTTCTTGTTCATCACAATATGTTGCTTATCGGCATTTCAGTCACCATTTACTGTTTATATAAATATGGAAACTAAATAGCTGAAGCATAATCCACAAAAATGCCCATAAAACTTCACTTGCAGAAACCCAAAAACTACTACTCCTTGAGCTTACATGACAAGTAGCTCCCAAATCAAAAAGAGGAGCATCAAAAAAGATTTTTATGCTTATTCAGAATTAGGAGTGCACCTTGAAATTCAGTATCACTAGTTTGAAAGATTTAAATAATTGTCCAACTATCACCACCCATAACTAGGTCTAGAAGCAGTTCAAAGGAATCAGTCATACAACACCACCCATAACTAGGTCTAGAAGCAGTTCAAAGGAATCAGTCATACAACACCACCCATTATGAAGGGGATATATGTTCTCCTACTAGGGAAGTTCCATATTTTTGAGCCATTGTGGTGAAAGGGTGAGGCCCAGAGAGGGGGTGGTTTCGTTTTTGGGTGGTGGAGGGATGGTGAGGCCCAGAGAGGGGGTGGTTTCGTTTTGGGTGGTGGAGGGATGGTGATGGCTGAGAGGAAACCATTTGGGGCGGAAGGTAAATGAGAATAGATTTAATACATAGGGAACATAGTAAGATACGATGGAACTCAATATCCAATGGTATTTACAGATTGTGTATGGTGCAATACTTAATGTGGTTGTGCACATTAAACAAAACTTCCTTAAAGTTTGATTTTTTATTTAGACCAATTCTGATTTTTGATCTATATATAGCCTTATCACTTTATAATGTCAAGTGGTATGTGAAAAAGTTGATGTATTTATTTAGTTAAAAATCAAAACTAAATATATCAACTTTTCATATAATACTTTTTTTTGTTGCTAATATTTCATTCCGAAGGGAGTACCTCCTTTGTCCTGTGAAAAACAAAATATATGTACAAATGAACCCTGCTTGAAAATTTATGAATAATATATCTCAAATACCAAAACAGTTTATGAAAATTTTAACATAGACAGAAAATAATATATCTAAAATATATTCGGGTAATATTACGAATTTTGAATTTATTTATAGTATTTTTGTCCCCCATTGATTTTTGTTCATCTAGGTGGCTTTGTTAATTGTTATTCTACTTCAAAAATTGTTCAGACTGAAAAATATTATCCAATTCTTTTCCTTCTCCAAATTCCTACTGTCATATATCTTATTATGTCGCATCTTTTCTTGTGCAGCAATGTTGCTGGCTTTATCTATGTAACAGACGTTGACGTTCAGAGGTGTGTGCATTGTTAGATTTTGTTCTGTTTTTTATGTAGAATGTTTGCATGATTGCATTTCTAATATGATTTGTACATTACAGAAAGAAGATAACATACCTTGCCCCATCTGCTGGAGAACTTCCAAGCAAGTATTTAATTCTGGGATCCTTAACATGGCTTGAATCATGAGCTGAAAAAGTTTTGTAATACAGTTAGTTTCTTAGTAGTTTTTGTTTTGATCACCGAATCTCAATTTTCGATCAATGTAAATGAAATGCTAAGGGTAATTTGTGACCCTTTGTTGGTGGGTTGTTCTCCTAGTGGAAGGCCGACCTTGCTCCAAGAAATATCCTAATTATGATAGTAGAATTATATGCTTGTAGAATAGCATGCTTGTCTTGTTTCAAACATTGTTTGAAAATGAGCTATGTAACATGAGACAATCACTTAGGAGGTTTAATGTTTGGATATGATCTAGTTATACATTGGTGATAAACACCTTCCGTTTGTCTTGTCTTTGAATGTCATAGCCCCATCTTGATGATAAATCATGTTGACAATCTTGACAATCTCAGCATTAACAATTATTTGGGATGTTCGATGTAACATCTAGTCAATATCATTGTGATATATATATATATATATATATATATATATATATATATATATATATATATATATATATATATATATATATATATATATATATATATATATATATATATATATATATATATATATATATATATATATATATTACTGTTTTTATTAAAAGATATAAAAACTTTTTAGAAAAATTGATTTAAATATAATTTTTTTATATCATTTTTTTTAAAATAAATATTTTAGTTTAAAACTATTTTAAATACTTTTATAAATATTATTTTTTAAAAGATAGTGAGATTTCTCAAGTGAAATGTATAGTTGAGTTAGGTATAGGTTGTTTGTCGAGGATCAATCTATAACAAAAACATTTATTTGTGTCTTAATGAATTGATGTAATAAATCAACAATCTTTTGTTGATTTTAAAAAAATAATATTTATTTGTAAAATTATTTGTTTTTGAATTTTTATGCGTCTGGCTTTCAAATGTATTTTAATCTTCAATGATGAATATATATTTTAGAATGTTAAAATTAAATTTTTAATTTACAAAAAAGTTTAAAATAATTTTAATTTCTTTTTTAATAAAATTTATTTTCAATATTTATAATAAACTTTGATTCTCATCACAAAGTTCAAACAACCAGAAATTCAATTTTAATGCTCTATTAATATTGGGAAAAATTTACTCCATACCCTTACAATTATTTCTATACTCCTACATAAAAAAAATTGGACCAAAATACTCTCATAAATAGTTATATGCTTATGAATTTTTTTTTATTTTTCCTTCACGCTTCTAAAGACATTTGGAATAGAAAAGTTACGCTGCAAACTGTAACCCTTCATAAAAGACTTATAGTTCACGTTCTGGCATTTGGAACAGTTAAATTAAGTGTTCTGATTTTATAATATTTAATTTTATGTATCGAAATTCATTTTAAGAGTGTTCTGGTTTGTTAAAGTGTTCACCGAAAATCTCTTTAAATGTATTCCGGTTCAGTTATGTTTACATTTTGGAAGACTCATAAAATGAGTTCTGGTTTTGTGGTTTTTTAGTTCTAGAACTCATTTGCTATGTGTTCCGATATTACTTTGTTTTCTTGACTTGTCACTTTTTTATTTTTTTTGTTTGTTTTTCTTTTATTTTTATTTTTTCCATGGTACGAACATGAGGCGGTAGGACATCAGGGGGTGCTTTAAAACGCGACACTTCATCGAGCTTTGCTGGTGAAGAAGAGCATATTGGTATATCCGCAACGACAACACCGTCAGTTGGCTATCCAGGAGGGCCCTACGATACTTTTCTGTTGGTTAAGTACGTGCAGCATATTGCCATGCATGTATGGTTTGGTGAGGTAAGTGAATGACATGTATTTGATATTGAATAATATTTGAATTTTTAATATTGTGTTTTATAATATTCATGCTTTTAATTGTTTTCAGGATAGAGATCCGAAAAAAGAGCTCAAGGTTGCTAGACATGGGCTGAAGCTTGTAGCGAGGGTTCCACAATAACTTTCAAGAGAGATTGAGGGTTGAGTTTCTAGGTCTGGTCTATCTTCACTCCAGAGAACCAGTTTGACAAAGATAAACACATATCTGATTTCCGCATTTGTAGAGAGATGACATCTAGAGACATTTTCATTTCACATGCCGTTTAGTGAGATAAGCATTACTCTGGATGATATATTTTGTCTGCTTCACTTTCCCATCAAGGGAGTGTTTTGACTCCTTCAACATATCATTGAAGCAGTTGTTGTTGGACTTGTTGTTGATTACTTAGGAGTGTCACAATATAGGGCCCAAGAATAAGTCTGTCATTGCAGGGGTTCTTACTATAAGTTAGAGTGATTATACAATTTATTCAAAGAGCATAATCAAGAAATTCATTACAATCAACACATGACTGCTCAAGTTGTTGCAGTCGTTGATCATACTCAACCTCGCCACTAGCCCATACAACTTCCATCCATAAGTCCTCGATCTTCTTTTGCATGTCACTAACCACATATTGCTTGCATTTTGCACCAACATTTTTGTTAATGTGAAATCGACATAGCAAATTGATCGACCTTGGAAACACAGTTTCAATTGCTTTCATCAAAGCAAGATCTCTATCTGTCACAATCACTTGTCAACACAAATCTTTCTTCACAAACAATTCTTTAAGCTTATCTAACACCCAATAAAAAGTCTCAGTCTACTCAAACTCCGTATACGCAAATGCGACAATAAAAGTCAACTCGATTGATGTCATGCCAATAATTTCAAACAGAGGTTGCCTATATTTGTTTGTCTTGTAGGTGTTGTCCATAACTAACGCAATAGGAAAAATATTCAACAACTTAATTGAATCTGGATGGACCTAAAATATATCTCTAATAACTTTAGAGTCATCTCTTTTTCTACTCCAACAAACATAACTTGTGTCCTCAATAAGCTTAAACAAATGTTGTATCTCACTTCTATGACCTCTTATCTCTTTTTCTATCATACTCTTATGCTTATATATTTGCGTGATCTGAGTGACATTCTCTGGACATCACTCATTCAAGAAAAGTAATATGTGACTAGGTGGAACATGTCTCTTTGTCAAATCAACAACATGTTGTTTCTGATCTGTGGTCAACCTACCAACAAAGGAGTGACCTTCTAATCTATCAGGTAAACCATGGTTATAAACTCTACATTTTACATCAACACTCCATCCATACCCAGCTTTCGCCGAAGTCGATCTAGTTTTAAATGGACATCAATATTTTTTTTGTCACACTTTGGGTTCCACCATCAGTATCCTTGTGTTTCCCACCTTTATCACAACCAAATATTAATTTGTTACTTCTTCTTCTCTTGCCTGTTTTAGTATCTGAACGAATAATAATAACAATTACTTTATTTCAGATTCCAACCTCTTTAATCCACCTTACCACCTCTTCTCGTGTACCAAATTTTTGAGTAGTTGAAAAAATATCAGAAGTGTCTACACATATTTCTGAAGGAATTTCTATACTTGCAGTATAAAAAAATAAATTTTAAAAAAGTAAATCGGATCACTTTATGAAAGAGTTCCAGTATGTAATTTTAAATAAACCAGATTTCTTCATAAATGTGTTTCGGTATATGTAAGAAACAAACCAGTTGACTTAAATAAAGTGTTTCGGTATAGATTTGTAACAAACCAGAACTCTTTTGGATAGTCTTCCGGTATATGTTTTGTATAAAACTGAAACTCTTTTTTTAAGTCTTTCGGAAGAGAAAATTAGTATACTGAAAGTCTTGATTGAAGTCTTCCGATGCAGTTTCGTTTTGTCTAATTTTTCGAAAGTCTGACATGAATAGTAAAAAGTAAAAAATAAAATAATATAAAATAAACAAGGGTAAAGTTGCCATTTTAAAAAAAAATATAGGGGTATTGGTATAATTATAGGGGTATGAAGTAAAATTTTCTAACATTTGATGATGTTTGTGGACAAATCACATCGCTAAATTGAAATGTATTGAGTCTGATTTATTATAATTTTTTAAGGTTATAATTTTGCGTAGGTTTATTATACTTTTTTATCTTAATAAATATTTTCATACATTTTTTTTAATATTTTAAGTTTGACCTATTTAATTAAATAGACTTTTGATAAAATCTAAGTCTACATTTTTTTTATCAAATATGTCTGGTTTGACAAGACCTTTAATAGGTTTGGCTATAGGCCTTTGAAGGGCGACCTGACCTCTTCCCACCTATACATATCGCCTCCGACCGACCACTAAGAAATTGCCCCTTCCTTCTAAAATCTTTTCAATACACGAAGATTATCATCTTATTAATTACAAGAGATGTCAACTACAAGTGCATCCAACGACTTTACGCAAATTACAACTAATAAATAGCTAGTTTGTTATATATATATATATATATATATATATATATATATATATATATATATATATATATATATATATATATATATATATATATATATATATATATATATATATATATATATATATATATATATATATATATATATATATATATATATATATATATATATATATATGGGTAACAAGCTCCAAATTCAATTTCACTTTACTCATCTTCCTCACATATTAACTTGAGTGTGGAAATGTTAACCTTGTAGGTCCCTCACTCCACCATTTGGGAAGCAGCGATCTACTATCACCGTCGTTCCTCTTCTCATTTCTGGTTCCAGTATGGAACAGTGACGTCGTTTGTGGAAATCGACTTCGGATTTCTACGACTTCCACAAATTCACATTATCTCTCAAACTTCGCAATTGTAACTTCCTCCGTTCACTATTGCAAAAGCATTTACGATCAAACGCGATGATGTATCATTTTTTGATTCAACCAAGCGTAATCTCAATTTTATTTCCTTAGATTTTCAGATCTCCATTTCTTACAATTTTTGGTGATGGTTGGATCTAAGACTACCATATTTTTGCTGCTCTAACAGCAAACAATCTTCCACCTCTTCGTTCGTTGCAAAATGTCGTAGATCCTAAAATGGTTGTTCTGTTACATCCAGATCTATATCGAGCTTCGTAATTAGACAGGTCTACTCAAA